CCCCGCTGCGCCGGGGTCCTCGGCCGGGGCAGGACCACGTGGGGACAGCGGTGATGCTGGCGGGACCTGCTGGGGTCAGCAAGGAGGCTCTTTGGGGTTGGTTACGTGCTTTTGGGGTCGATAAGGTGCCTTTGGGGTTGGTGAAGGTGCCTTTGGGGTCAATAAGGTGCTTTTGGGGTCGATAAGGTGCCTTTGGGGTTGGTGAAGGTGCCTTTGGGGTCAATAAGGTGCCTTTGGGGTTGGTGAAGGTGCTTTTAGGGTCGATAAGGTGCTTTTGGGGTCGATAAGGTGCTTTTGGGGTTAGCCAAGATGCTCTTTGGCATGAAGATGCTCTTTGGGGTTGGTTCAGTTGCTCTTTGGAGCTAATTAAGATCTTTGGGGTTATCAAAGCTGCATTTGGGGTTAGTGAAGACGCAATTTGGGGTTAGCAAAGATGCTCCTTGGCAAGTGAGATGCTTTTTGGGGTTAGATAAAGTGCATTTGGGGTTAGCAAAGATGCATCTGGGGTTAGCAAAAGTGCTCTTGGGGGTTAAGATTCTTTCTGGGGTTAGTGAAGATGCTCTTTGGGGTTAACAAAGATGCTCCTTGGTGCCAATTAAGATACTCCTTGGTGCTAATTAAGATGCTCCTTGGTGCTCATTAAGATGCTCTTTGGGGTTAATTAAGATGCATTTGGGGTTAAGATGCTCTTTGGGGTTAGTTAAGATGCGTTTGGGGTTAGCAAAGATGTTCTTTGGGGGAGTGAAGATGCTCTTTGGGGTCAGCCACCATGCTCCTGGGGTCAGGCAGACCCCTGTGCCCCCTGCGTGAGCTCCAGGCCCAGAGCAGCGGCCGGGAGCCGGGCAGGATGGGGTGCCCAGCGTCCGCAGCCCCCCCAATTCCTCCCCTCCGCCGCAGGGTCTCACCGGCCGCCCAGGCGACGCTGGTCCTCAAGGCAAAGTCGGCCCAACGGTAAGCGATGCTCCGCAGGGGGTCGGCGCGGGGCGGGGGTCCGGGCTCCGGCGCGGTTCCCTGCTGACGTCCCCCTCCCCGCAGGGCGCTCCCGGCGAGGACGGCCGCCCCGGCCCCCCCGGCCCGCAGGGGGCGCGTGGTCAGC